CCACGTCTAAATAAGCATGTTTACAGTAAACATTGTCATGCATACCTGGTCATTCAATGGTCTGCACATATTTGAAAATTACAGAATTCAAGTAGGAGGAATTAGTGATGATTTGCATATGCCCATGTAAGATTTGTACAAACTACATGCCTATTACGATTATGGAAATAAATAAATATTTATGATGGAACCAAACCGTTTCATTGCTCTATAATGCATGTCTCACCAAGTCTTGTGTCTTTCTTCGCTCCACGAAAATGTTTCATCAAAGAGCAAAGGATAATCTGCAAGAAGTAAATATAATGTCCAAAAATGAATATTAACTACAGCATTTTAAACACTGAGAAATGAAATCAAATAATAAAATGAGAAGCTATGAAGTGGCTGATGGACCGTTAAATTGTGGACAGCTTTGCATCCATAAAACCTAAAGGTTACAAGCGCACCACCTACAACTTTATGATTGAGACAAAACGCTAGTGGCCATCTCATGTAGTTAGAAGATTAAAATTTAATGACTATGCAAACCTCCATATTTTTTGATATATCTTTGATTATGCCTTGCTAGCTTATTATGAAATGATGACAGTCAAATACATAGTGGTACGTAAAATTTGCTATTGCAAACTGAACAAAGGTAGAAGCTTAAAGTATAAAGCAATATTTTACCTAAAGAAAAGGCACTTCATTGCTCCCAAAGTTATTCAATGTAAACATGGGAAGGAATCATCAATGGTCAGAAACCTAAGCAAATCATGTAAAAAGAGAAAGACATTAGCATAGAAGAAGAAACTTGAAAGAACACATGGCATGATATATATTGGATAATGAAGCCTTAGAAATCAAACCAACAACAATGGACAACTCAACCAATTCCATTTCAAAAAATCCATTTTATATCAAAGAAGCTTAATTCAGGAAAGTAATGAAGTTTTTAAAAGCAAATGTAAAGTAGTTTTCAAAAACATAAGAAGAAAGGCAAGCATTTATGATTTATTCTTTCTTCTTGTTCTCTTTTAACACAATTCAAGGAGGGGTAAAATTATAATTTTTACTTTTAACACACATGACAATGCTCTCATTTTTTTAGTTAAATGACATTATTCTTATTATTCATAGGTAACACAAATTAAGAGAAAAATTATAATTTTATTATTCTTTATTAATTAAAATAGCCTTTTATATTAAATGAATGAAAAGAAAAATATTTAAAAGTTGTCATTAATAAAAATCAAATAAATAAAAATTTATCTTTTAATATGAGAAAACTATGATATTTTACATGTTTTTTTAAACAAAATCAATACAAAACACCAATACTAAAAAATATATATTGTTCTAAAGTTGCACACATTCCATTTGTAACATATTAGTAATATATATATATATATATTTATATATTTTTGAATAAGTAGTGAAATTTTATTCAAAAGGGAAAATAAAAACTACAAATAGATAAGAGTATAAAGAAAATAAACAAAGCAGATAACGAAATTTATAAGACTCTTATTAATGGCAGCTTTTAAATATTTTTATTTTCATTTGTTTAATATAAAATATTGTTTTAATTGATAAAGAATAATAAAATTATAATGTTTTTATTAAATTGTATTACTTATGAACCATGAGAACAATGTCACTAAACTAAAAAAAAATGAGACCATCATTATGTGTGTTAAAATTAGAAATTACAATTTATCCCTTTTTAAATTGTGTTAACAAATAATAAAAATATTTTTTTCATATCATATGTCATGTGCATTGCATTAATATGACATGGAAATAACTATATTAATAAAATAGTAGTTAATTGATAGTAGGAGGTTTTGAAAAACGAAATTAAAAGTTAGGAGAGTTAATTTTAAATGTTGAAAGATAAATGGGTCATATGCAACTATCTCAAAATTCATAAGAGTTTTATGTATTTTAGTATAAAAGTTAATACTATATACCATAAATATGAGAATCATTATATCTTTTAAAAATCTTATGAATTATAATTCTCAACCTATGAACTAAAATTCTCCTTCTCTCTTATGAATATAATTCAGCTATCTCCCTCTACATTTTGATCTTATTATTTTTACCTTTATTTTTCAATACATTCCACTTCTTCTTGTTTTTTTTTATCAATCACATTGGACCTTATTTATTCATTTATTTTTGGGATTAAAAGTGGTTGCTATATTTCTCTCAGGAAAAAAACTATATACAGAACTAGTGAAGATCAATTCCTTTCATCATTGACTACCGTGTTAGGAGGGAGTTGCTTTATCCTCTCATCATTGTATTACACTCCTCCTATGTTCCCACTATTAGCAAGTCCTTGGGGTATTACACTTGACTTAACAGCCTTAATCATGTGGTGAGAAGGAAATAAGGAAAGGACGAGGGAAGGAATCGTGATTCAACTTTAAGATTGCATGTCAAATGGTTTCCAATAAAAATAGAATTCTCATTACCAAGAATTGATGTTCAAGGAATACAGCCGTGTTTGGGTAGGCAAATAGCCTAGAATTGGCCAACGAGAAACAAGGATGGAACCAAAATCATGAAATTAAAATGATTTGGTATACATGAATTCTGGTTCTCAAGAATTTTAATTTAGCTGAAATGCCTGGAATTTAATTTTATTACCACAATAGAATTGGCCCAATTTCAGGGAAATCTCATCACTACCCTCAATCTCTCTATTTGTTATTATCACCATCTGTGGAATAAGTAAAGAGGGCAGCAATGAGATTTCTCTTCCCTTCAGTTTTGAAAAGGACATTTGGGTCTTCATAGATACATTTTAAATACATTAAGATTTCATTTCCATATCAAATATATTTTTAAAACATAATTCTATGTTAATTTTGATTTTATCAAAAACTTCTTTCATGATACAAAATGAGCCTAACATAATCTTGATATGTAACAATGAGAATTTAAATAAAGGAAAATCTCACAAAAATTTAGTATGACAAATTAAGAGCCTGTTGGGATACTCACTAAACATCCTTAGAGTGATTGAAAGCACATTTTCATTTTTTGGAGTGTTTGGTTTATTTTCAATTTTAGTTTCGTTGACATTTCATATAATCCAAATGGATTTTTGCTCAACTTTCATTAGAGTTGCTTTTGACATTTGAAAATATACATTTGAAATTATAGTTCCCATATTACCCTTTAAAAGTTTTATAGCATTTATATATATTTTTTTTCAACAAAGAAGTTTTATATATTTTATTCAACTTATCATACTCTTCTTTTTTTTGGCCAATTATTCAACTTATCATATTCAAACACATGTTTTAACGAACAGAGTTCGCGATTCAATTAGAAACCAGATTTTACATTATAAATCAAACAATTAATTATATTAAATTTCAATATTAATGTATATTGAACTACTTATTATATAATTTTTTTCAATATATCAAACTATTTGTTTATTCTTATTATTTAATACGTCAATTTTTTTATTTAAAATTTTATTTTATCATATTTTTTTAACATTTCTAATGTATTACAATTGTGTAATAAAAATTACAAATCATCATAAATCAATATTATTTTTATAAGTATATATTCAAAAGCACATTTTAATATATATAATCTAAATAACTTTTAGTTAATCAAACTAATTTTTAAATAAAAGTGTCTAAATATAAATTTCATTACAATAATTAACTTTTGTCAAATAAAATTTTGATAAACTAACTTTTGACCAACGAAAAATCAAATATACACTAAATCGTGCGAAATAGGTAAATTGTAATTCAACATTAAAATGTATGAACAATAGTGTTACAATTTGACTTATAAAAAATTCAATTTTGTATTCACAACTATTTTTATCTCACCTCTTTTAAACATAACTTCATTCATAAATGAGAGATAACTATACATAAATAACTATACATAAATAACTAATAAATTCTACAAAACTCCCATGCCAATCTTCGTCACCAACACTAAGGCCAGCTTTAAGAGAAGTATTTAATCGACCTTATAATATTAATTTTAATTTACTTTCCAATAAATTAAATCAACGAGGGGATGAAGATAACTACTGTAAAAAAAAAAAAAACTTGCAATGTTACTAATAATGACTAGATTGATGATTTGAATCTTGTAAATGAAAAAGCTATGTTGAGAAGCTAATTCCTAATTGAATAAGATAGCACTTAAATTTGATATGATCATAAATCACATTCCCTCCGATTTTTATTATAAGATACTTTTTAAAAAAGATTGACGGTCTTTAATATAAGGTACTTGTTGTGACATTAATTATATATTTTTTAATATTATTCATATTTAAATTCATTAATTATGATAGATAATGTAATCTAGATTTAAAATTTTTGCATTTAAATATAGGTAAAATTGAAATGTTATTTTATTTTTAGACAAAGCTAATGATTTAATCCAATCTCTTTGGTTTTGGTCAGATAGTTAAAGGTAACTTATAATATAGACTAAAGAGAGTAGATAATAGAAAACTACTTTCACACCACAATATAGAATATTTTTCAGACATCTCAATTTAAAATATAGGACATTATGTAGGTTATATATATATTTTTTCCAATTATATAATTATTTTATTATATTTCACTCAAATCAAGTAATTAATAAGAGTATTTTAAATAATTCAAACATTAAATCATTCTATTCAATGTTATGTTTGGAAAGATGTAAAAAAATTTAAAAAATTAAGATTTTAATCAATTTTATAGGCATGATACTTGCTGTTAGGCACCAATCCATCCGCCACTTGTTTTAGACCGTGGACCCTTCATAATGGACCCAAGAATGTGATGCCATCCAGAGAAACTTTCACAAGGTCTCAACTCTCAATAAGCAAAATTTTCAAACAAGGGTGACGAAAAGATCGATGACTGAACTATAAAAAACTGAAACACTAACCGGAAAAAAAAAAAAAAGGCCCAAAAACACCTAACCACAGGCAAAGAATAAAGCTTTGCCTTTTTTGGCCAAAAAAGGATGAAGTTGTTCGAGACATAAATGTATACTATTGTTCATCTCTGCATGCTGTCTTGTAGATAACAAAATTTGACAACTCTCTTCTCTTTTAATTACAGCGATACTCAGAAGCGACTCAGACGACGATCTTCTCTTTATCCGCGTCTGTGAGTCTTTCTCGTCGCCCCTCATATTCTGATTCTTCATGTTTATTTGTATATCTCTCTGTTTTCCTCTCGCATAAGCCTGTATATATAAATTGATAGATGGGTTGCACTGTGAGGGAAAAGCACCTCCGAGCGAATCGGAGACCTCGATCATCCAAACCCTATATGGATTCCTGCTGTTATCTCGACAAGGCTCCCATTTCCAAATCTATACTGGAATCAAGCCTGAAGCCTGTGAGAAACCATCTTGCTCTCAACGATTCTTCTCAAAATCCAAATTCCAACTCTAATCCTACCCTTAACCCTAGTTTTTCCCTTAATGTTGAGGAAACCGGCTGGGGTTACTGCACCGAAGAACAATTAGAAGAAATTCTGTTGAAAAACTTGGAACATTTATATAATGAAGCTGTATCGAAGCTTGTTGCATTGGGCTACGACGAGGACGTGGCTATCAAAGCAATATTGCGAAATGGGCACTGTTATGGTCGAATGGATGTGCTCACCAATATTTTACATAATTCGTTGGCTTATTTGGATAGTAACTGTGATTGTACCAGTACTAGTAGTAATGGCAATTCGGATGAGTCCGATCCTGTTTTCTCTGACTTGAGGCAGTTGGAGGAGTGCTCTCTGGCAGGCATGGTCTGTTTGCTGCAACAAGTCAGGCCACATTTGAGTAAAGGCGATGCCATGTGGTGTTTGCTTATGAGTGATCTTCATGTAGGACGGGCATGTGCCATGGAAATTCCAGTGCTTCCTGCTTCAGGTAATGGTTGTCCAGATCCTAGTGCCTCTGAGGCTAGCAATTCAGTTGGTGTTTTGGCCCCTGCCCTGTGTAGGTTTCACGGGGGTTGGGGATTTGGAAACGGGGGAGGCTCAGATCTCCCCTTCAATGGGTTCTTCTCTTATAGCGCTGAGATGAATTTACGAAGAGATATTGAACTTCCAAAAAGGTTTAATCTTTCTCCTTCAATGAAGTCTTTACTGAAAAGAAATGTTGCAATGTTTGCTGCTGGTTTTAGGGCAAATTCAAAACAATTTCAGACACAGGCCAAGGCCTCTCCCAGCAATAGCACTTTGCCAAGCTTGGAATCTCCAGCTGTATCAGGGACTGATGTCCCAACAGAGCAGTCTGGGGATTCTCAGAATCTGAATAACAATGATTCTGTGAACTCAGTGTTGAGCAAATTCCGTGATCTGAATCTTGATGAGAATCTGGAGTCTGTGACAGAAGATCAGAAAGATGAGGTGATAGTCACTTTATTTCGTCAGATTAAGGATCTTGAGAAACAGGTAAAAGAACGAAAAGATTGGGCCCATCAGAAGGCAATGCAGGCCGCAAGAAAGCTAAGCAATGATCTGACTGAGCTGAAAATGTTGAGGATGGAAAGAGAGGAGACTCAGAGATTGAAGAAAGGGAAACAGGCACTGGAGGACACAACCATGAAAAGACTCTCAGAGATGGAGAATGCTTTAAGAAGGGCCAGTGGTCAAGTGGACCGTGCAAATGCAGCTGTGAGACAGCTTGAGACAGAGAATGCAGAAATTAAAGCAGAGATGGAGGCTTCCAAATTAAGTGCATCAGAATCAGTCATGACTTGCTTGCAAGCTGCAAAGAGGGAGAAAAAGTGCATGAAGAGGCTTGTAGCTTGGGAAAAACAGAAAGCTCAGCTACAGCAAGAGATTTCAGGTGAGAAAGAGAAGATACTGGAGATGCAGGAAGAATTGGTTCAGATTAAACAGCGTCGGAAAGATGCTGAGGTGTGCGCTCCACCATCCTTTTTATTGGTTGATCAAAATTTGTTTATTAATCAACAATGCCATTCACACATACCTCATAAAAAGGTGAAGTATTCCTATGCATTTGCATCCCTAATGTCACAACAAATATAACCAATTTCAAGATCAGATGTCTAAAATGCATCCTGGATAGGTATAAAAAAGGTGGTTTACTATTGTCACCTTGTGACCTCTAGTTTCTACATGAAGTTCTTTTCTTCATACGTGTGAATGATTTCATGTTTGAATCAAATTTGAAATTAGAGTCCACAATGTGCTGTTCAACATGTCTTACATTATATAGGACTTACATTTATTTAGAATAACAAGTGACTGGTTATCAAATGTGATTTTAGAAAGATGAATCAGTATCGATTTCCTTCCATTTTGGACATTAGAATGTCTTGTAGTTTGCATGTGCATAGATGTGTGCTCGGGGTTTTGGGATAATGTGTTTCTCAATGCTTGTTCAATTTTACACCACCAAATTAAGCAAAAATGTACTTGAATATGATGTACTTTGCTTCATGGGTTTCAACCTTAAATTCCAATTAGCATAGAAGATATTCCTTAAGGCGAGATCTTTGATTAGGTTATGATGTAATGTGATGTTTTACTTGTCTCTAAACAAGTTACGATAATACCATCTCTCAGATGATAGTTTGGTATAATGTTTCATAGTATATCGTATGCTAATACTTCCTCAAGTCAAGGGAAACATATTTCAATATGCTTAATGTGTAGTACCTTTATGTTATTTGAGCTAGTGAAAGGGAACAGGTAGTACGTGAACATGTTCTTTCCACTATTTTTTTAACACTATATTCTTATTGGAAACTGAGATCTTTGTTTAGGTGGATTCTTAATATGATTATGATTTTTTATCATGTTCAACAAACGCTAATCAAAGTAAACTCGTAATGATGTGTTGAGATACATATTTACAGTGTGATTGCAGGTTTGAACTTAAGTATATTTATCATCATTGTTTCAATCAAGATCTAATTTATGCCTTGTTTTAATTTTCTATTTTCTGAGTGAAAAATTGAAAATAGATTTTATATTTCTTTCTACCTTTAATGTTATTATACCCAGTTTGAAACCAAAAGAAAGTTGAATTCCATTTAGTTGACATTAATTTTACTGATATTTTGGAGATAATTTCTGCAGATAAATTGGTCCCCAGTTATCAGCAATGGAACTTTTTCTTATCTGTGTATTTTTATATTGGCGTGTCGAGAACTGATGTCACTGATGATCCCATATCATACATATTATATATTTGTTTTCTCGTCCATAATGCTGAAAATGGATTATGTGCTTAATCGCGGCTAATATGATAATGGTATTCCTGAAATTTCCCTCTATTAACGGCACTCAAGTCTCTTTGAATAGTATACTATTATATGATTTTGCCAGCATTCAACCTGATACAACAAATTTATACTTATTTATTTCCAATATAAATCTGATTCTGTGAAAACTGCTGTTTCTGTCTGGTGCTTCTTTGTTGTTTTTCTAAAGGTGTGTTCTGATGGGGGAATATGGGGGAGAAGGGAAGGTTTCCCGGGAAACCTATTCCTCATTTGAGAGATTATGTAAAGGATTTTTGTGTGTGTGTGTGTGGTTGGGCGGGGGTGGTGATGGAGGATTGTCAACTAACCCTCCCAAGTCCTCTATAGTTCTCTGTCCTTTATAATTTTAAGTTCCCCCATTTTGGAGGATCTTGGAGGGGGAAATTTTCCCTGAACAATGGGAAGGAAATGACCATTTTGGGGTGATTGGAGGAGTTTTTCCCTGAATGAAGGAGGAAATTTTTCCTGAACAGAGGGAGGGATGATTGAAGATTGTCAACCAACCCTCCAAAGTCTTTCATAGTTCTCTCTCTTTTATAGCTTAAGTACCCCTAGCTGGGGAATCTTGGAGTGGCAAGTTTTCCCTGAACAAAGGGAATGAAACGACCACTTAACCTTTCATTTTCCTTCATTCTCTTCCCTTCCTTCTTTGGATTCCATTCCCTTGCCTTCCCCATTCCCAAATATACCCTAAGTGCATCTGCTGAGCCAGTTGTGTTGCCACACTCTTATGGCAGGTCAAGTGGAGGAAAGAGTTGAAGGCTAAAGAGGAAGCCTTAGGATTAGTTGAGGAGGAGCGACGGGCTAAGGAAGCAGTGGAGGCTAAAAATAAGCGGAAGCTTGAGGCTTTGCGCCTAAAGATAGAGATAGATTTCCAGCGGCACAAGGATGATCTCCTAAGACTTGAGCAGGAGCTTTCACGCTTAAAATCATCTGCTCAGTCTGCTGAGTTTCTAAATCAATCAAATACTTCACCTGCAAGCGAGTCTGAGAGTGCAAAGCCCCAAAGAGAGACAATTGCTAAGATGCTTCAAGAATTAGATAAACTGGAGGCATACTCAGATAAAGAAGTAAACTGTGATAGGGAATGCATAATATGCATGAAAGATGAAGTCTCTGTTGTTTTCTTGCCTTGTGCTCACCAAGTTATGTGTGCTAGTTGCAGTGATGAGTATGGGAGAAAGGGCAAAGCTGCCTGTCCATGCTGTTGTGTTCCAATTGAGCAGAGGATTCGTGTATTCGGGGCAAGTTCGTAGCTGATAGTTTTTTTAATATATGCTATGAATTTTCATACTTGTCCTTATGCTGTGGGAAGTCATCATAATCAGGATTTATGTAAATAAAAGCCAAGTCCTGGCGCTAGCTCGTCTCCAGGAATATCTCAAACTTTTCTTCCGTTGCTGCTGAAAATAAGAAATAGGCATGTCAATGCTTTCCCAAACAAAAAAATAGACCATTTGATGCTTGTATAAAATTACGGCAATTGAGAAAAATGACCCATAAAGGATGACTTGAAATTAGCTTTGGCATTCTGGTAAGCATGCAGTTTTGCAACTGCATTATATCGAATGTGATGTGGATAGCCTTTTCCATATCTTGAAAGTAATTAGCATTTGGATTTTTAAAATTACTGTTAGGGTGTTAATAATAAGTGATTATTCCTACTCAAGGCAGGAGCTAGCTTATTTATATTACAAATCAAATATTCAGGCTTACCTGCTGAGTATTAAGGAGTTACTTTAAAAGGATTTACTTCCTTTGATTTTTTTTATAAATCATTCCTATCAACCTTATCAATACTAATACAATTATCAATACTAATACAAAAATATAAAAGGAATAAAAGTATGTAAATTTTTATATATACCTTTAGAAAAACATTTTAATTATTTAAAAGGATTAATATGCAATTTGAATCTTGAACTATATGTTTAGGGGTGATTTGAATATTAAATTTTTAAAATATATATTTTGAACTGTAAAGAATTAAAATTTGAACAATTTCACTTCCACCATAAATTTTAGACAAACATTCATTAAAGTGGAGCAATTTTACTTCCATTGTAAATTTTAGACAAACATATGTGGAATTAAAGCTAGTATAATTTTCACCAAATAATGAGAGAGGGAGAGTAAAATCTAATAAAAATCATATATTAAGTCTCAATTTAATGGACGTTTATTGAAATTTAATGGTAGGGTTAAAATTATCTCAACTTTAATTATTTAAAATTTATATATTTTTTAAAAATTTATGGTTTAAATCATTTATGAACCTATAATTTAAAATTTAAATTACATATTAATCCTATATAAAAACTGTAGCATAATTTATAAATAAAATTAAATAAATATTGTAGAATGTGTCTGTAAATGGGGCGGAGGAAGTATTCTCCTTCCACAACTTTCAACGTCTTAATCATGAATAAATCAAAGTAACCCATATGTGTGTATTGGTATGGAAAACATTAGGGGGATGATAATAAAGTTCTAAAAGAGGAAATTAATAGTAGCTAAATTTCAAATAAATTTTTTTTAAAAATGGCCTGTGAATATGGAATTCTAAATGTAAATTGAAAACTATATCTAAAATTTAAATATTTTATTTATAATTAAAATTCTTAAATTTATAATTATCTAAATAGAGGTTTGTAATTTTGTTGACTGTTATTAATTCTTTCATTTAAAATTTAATTGTTATTCTCTCTAAACGTTATTGTTTGCATGTTGTTTGGACATACAAAGACTGGATTTTCACGAATATTTCATACCTTTTTTTTTTTTGGCGGAATATCACTTTAAAGTATTAAAATCGCCTATCCAAGAGTATTGAGTAATCATCCTTCATATTTAAGATCATGTTTCCAGCAGTACGTAGGTATTGGAGTAATTGGGCTAATACCCAGTGGCCGACTGAGGACCTTCGGTTAGGGGGGGCATTTTTAAAAAAATAACAAAAAAATTAAAAATTTATTATTTAAATAAAATATGTTTAACTTTAAGATTAAATAAAATAAAATTAACTATTTATATTTGGACTCTTCTATTTAAAATATAGAAATATCTTTAAATTTTAGTACTACATCAACGTTCATTGAAGTTTTATATAAAGAAATTCATTGACAATACAATTAAACACCATTAACATTTGATAACACAATCAATTATAAATTATTTATTCTTGTAGTAATTAAATTTTTTGTGTGGGATGTAGTTGTAATTCTCTCAATTTTTTTTTAAGTGAGGAAGATAAATATTCTAGTGGGTTAAAAATCCTAAATTTTGTGAAGTCAAAGTATTAATTTTTCTACACTAACATGCAATTTTTTCCAAGTAAATGTGCCCACCCTCACATGTAGATACACCCCTGCTAATACCTGAGAATTCAGCTTGTTCAATTAATGTTCTTTTTTTCTAAGAACTTTCACAATGTCAACTAGTCATTCTCTTTTTTTTTTTTTCCAATTTTTTGTACTAACACTTTATAAACCGTGGTCATGTCTAAATTTTATTTTATTGAGAGATATCTAATAAAATTTGAATGATACATAAAAGACTTGCTTGGTCCTTGCATAACCCTTGTATAATAAGGATGACATGCATAAATCAAGAAATACAAACCTTTATTAAGAAGAAGTACAATCCTGACCCCAAAAACAAAATAAAATAAAATAAAAAATCCAAAAAAAAAAGGAATTATGAGAAAGCAAAGAGAAGCAGGTGGCAACTGAAAAATAGTGCCATGTGGTGAAATCGAAGACGTAAATTCAAATGGAGAAGTTGACAATGCACGAGAGAACCGTCCTTTCATGCAAAATTGTCAACCCAACTGTTGTGAGAACAACAGATACTGTTAATAACGACAAAAATAAACACAGCCGACGACTCTGATTCATAAAGTTTACAAAATAACAGTCCCCAGTCACACGGTTCCTTATACATGGGCCGTTATTTTTGTTTCATTTCTCGTGAACCTCTGGCTTTGATCCAGCTATCCTATAATACCGACAAAGATGATCTCGAATCACATTGTTAATATAAGGTCATGTTAGTGGGGGACGGATTTGTAAGTATATTTACAAAAACATGCCTTGATATTGATAAACTCTCGAGTTTAACTGAAACTTTTAATTAGATTAAAAAAAAAATGTAAGGGGATTTCAGGACAATTTAATCCAACTAAACTCCCAAAAAAGGTGGGTACTAAAGAAGTTACCTGTTTGTTGAACTTGCTAAACCAAGTAGCTACTGTGCCTCTATCGTACCTCTGTGTATGTAACACGTGATATTCACCATTATTAATGAATTGCTGATACAGAATGATAAATATGCTCCTGATAATTTCTGTAACAAAATTGGAGCCATTTATCTAGCCACCCCACGATTACCAGCAGATCACAGAAGCTTCTAACCACTCCCACTAAACTTCTTTTTCTAACAAAAATCAGTATATTTCTGCAATGCGTTGACTTCTAAGACTTGTGAAAAACTCACCTCTTAAAGCGTTGTGTAATGGAATGCATGTGAGTGCAGAAATGACATCACCCGAGTCTCTCTCTCTCTCTCTCTCTCTCTCTACTACACCAGTATAAAGTTCAGGCATGCTTGTTGAAGAAACTTGGGATTCTTCTGGCATCGTCTAGACTCCCCAGAACAAGAAAATGGTGGCGAAGTTAGTTCATGCAGAGATGGAAATGGCAACGGGTGAGAAGATTATGGGATGGGAAGTGAAGAAGAGGATGAACAGAATAGGTGAGAAGATGAAGAGGATGCCGAGAATGGCATGGAAATCAACGTGGAAGGTGAGACGTGAAGATCCCAGAAGAGTGATTCATGCAATCAAAGTGGGTTTGGCTCTCACGGTCGTCTCTTTGCTCTATCTCTTGGAACCACTCTTCAAAGGGATTGGCGAGAATGCCATCTGGGCCGTCATGACCGTCGTTGTTGTCCTTGAATTCACTGCAGGTCACACCTTCTCTTGTTTGGTTTTTTCCAGTGTCATTAGAACTGCACCGGACCGGCCTGTAGTCTAGTCTGGTTAAGGTACAGAACCAGAGAGGAAGTGAACTGGTCCGGTGGAAAACCAGTCAAGAACCAATTTTCAATTTTTAAAATTTCAATAACCCAAAATTATATATGTTATTTTGTGTTTTTATTTGTCTTGTGGTTTATTATACATATATTTGATGATTCATTAGTAATTTTAGTTAATAATAGAAATTTGTGTTGGTCTGGCAGTTAGACAATTAATTTAACATAGTTGATGATAATTTTGGTTACATGTAACAGACAGTAAATAGTTTTATTATAACGCTGGAGCGATAGAGTATAAATATGATATGTTCATAGTAAAATATTGTTTAAACTATATTTACTTTTCATACATAATTTTTAAATTTTATTAATAGCAGTTAAATCACTATTTTAATGAACCAGTATTCTGACCGGCTCAAAACTCGTTTGGATTTTGACAAGATTGATTTTCTCTGCCTTTGCTTCTGATTCATAATCTTGAGTTGATGAACAGGGGCAACGTTATGCATAATCTTGAGTTGACAAGATAATGAATTTTCTGAGTTGGGTTTGCAGGGGCAACGTTATACAAGGGGCTCAACAGAGGATTGGGGACACTATTGGCTGGATTATTAGCACTTCTTATAGAGTATATTGCAGAAGCGTCTGGTCGGGTCTTTCAAGCTCTTTCCATTGGAGCTTCAGTTTTTATTATAGGTATATAGATACATACATACATATATAAATACACACACATATGCTTCGACAGATCTAAATGAATCAGGCAGTACTTGGCTCTTTGATACAACTTTCTGAATTCAAAATGACTTTTGAACGACAATTTTTAACAGGAGCTGCAGCTACATACATGAGATTCATTCCCTACATAAAGAAGAACTATGATTATGGTGTGGTCATATTCCTCTTGACCTTCAATTTGATCAGTGTGACAAGCTATCGTGTCGACAACGTCAGGAAGATTGCTCATGAGCGTTTCTACACCATCGCCATAGGTTGTGCCATCTCTCTTTTCATGAGCCTTCTCGTTTTCCCTAACTGGTCTGGCCAAGACCTTCATGAGTCCACCATCTTCAAGCTCCAAGGCCTCGCTGATTCCATCCAAGGTACTTATAATATAACATACCGCTACATTTTTTTCTTTTCCTTGTTCTTTCTTGTCGCAGATTTATTATATCAACATCTCGCAGCTTGTGTTAATGAGTACTTCAAAAACGGTGTCATTCAAGAAAATGAGGACGTTAAATCTTCATCCGAGGATACTATATACAAGGGTTATAAGGCTGTTTTAGACTCCAAATCCACCGATGAAACACTGGTAATTTTAACACATACACACATGTTTGAGATCATCATTCTTAATCCTTGTTCATGTGTGTGTGTGTCTGTGTGTATTCTGTTGAGTAGGCATTGCATGCGAGTTGGGAGCCAAGGCGTTCGAGGTATTGTCACAGATTTCCATGGCAGCAGTATGTAAAAGTTGGAGCTGTTCTTCGCCAGTTTGGGTACACCGTCGTAGCCCTCCATGGTTGTCTGAGAACAGAAATTCAGGTATTGCATTCAAGGAATCACGCATGAACCTACCTAGGACCAAGAATGCTCCCACATTTCAGGAATTTAATACAGAGAAATTTATTTCTGGTACTGGAAATACTCATTGCAAAGTTCGGTTTTTTTTTTTTTTTCTTTTTCAGACTCCGCCATCGGTTCGAGCCATGTTCAAGGACCCCTGCATAAGGCTGGCGACAGAGGTATCAAAAGTACTGATAGAACTTGCCAACAGCATAAGGAACCGCCGGCACTGCTCGCCGGAGATACTCTCCGATCATCTTCATGAAGCCTTACAAGACCTCAACACTGCCATCAAGTCTCAGCCTCGGCTCTTCCTTGGCTCTGACGACAGCAAGACCACCAACATGCTTGCCGCAGCAGCAGCATCGCAAGTAGGACAGAAAAAGCCAAGGAAGAATAACTCATCAGGAGTGACATTATCAAGTGTTAAAACTGATTCTTCTGCCTCGCTCGAATGGAAGAACAAAAGGCCCAGTGCTGAGCAATCCAAGGAAGCATCAGAGCGAAAGGTTTTGAGACCCCAGTTGAGTAGTAAAATCGCCATTACTAGCCTTGAGTTCTCTGAGGCTCTTCCTTTTGCTGCTTTCGCTTCGTTGCTTGTGGAGACCATAGCAAAATTGGACCATGTAATCGAGGAAGTTGAAGAACTGGGGAGATTAGCGTGCTTCAAAGAGTACAGACCCGGTGATGAGATTGTCGTCACCTGTGAGAAACCCCGGGTTGATGTAACTCAGAGCCATTTACCATCTCACGGAGTAGACTAATTTAGAGAGACGTTAAGAGGTGTATTCTTTCATGGACATGAACAACGATGATGATGACGAGTTTCAGATATATAGATAAATCACTGAACTGTCTGAATATCTTTAAATTGCAAGATTATGTAGCCAGATTTAGTTAATCTGTTAGTTGTAGGAAACTGCATTTGCATACCACTGTTTCCATCAAAAGCCAGCTCAATAAATTCCTTTCAGAGATGCAATGACTTTCTTGGAAATACAAAGTAGGCTATGACTAGTCTTTTGAAGATCAAGAGCACACTAGATTTGATGATAGCCATAGGCAATCCTGTTTCTGAAAATGAGCACATTGAAGCTATTTTCAGTGTATGTGAAGATATGTGACCCTTTCATCTCTTCAGTGTCCTAAAAGATTATATCCCTTCTTAGTTACAGACATTGAGTCACTGTTATTGGCTCAAGGATCAAGGTTTTAAGCATTCAGAGGCTGCAGATCAGATGATTACTGATCTGGCTAGTTTCAATTGAAGAGAAATAGAAATAGAAGCATCATTGTGACAGAAGGGGAATAGGAGTTTATGGGTCTGAAAATAGAAAAAAGCCAAAGCTGCTAGTGATGTGAAAATTTGGCCACACTATTTGGACTTGCTAATCACAGATATGAGTCCTAGTTCCTATATGCAACCTCATCAACAGGCCAAAAGTTCCGGAATTACAAATCCAGCAGGCAAGTGCAAGCTATGATATTGATATCTACTTCTGATTCAATAGGGGATTCAAACAAGTATTCATACTTGGTGCCGGTAATCACATCGCCTATGACCCCAATAATCTTCAAAGAAAGTACCTTACCAAGTTATGATAGGTGATGATAGAGTTCCAAGATAATAGGTGATCTGGAAAGATAGATATTATGAATAAATATTACTTTTAATTTATTTTAGATATTTTCTAATTAATAATATTGTTTAGATTTTATTTAGGTATTTAATTATCTAGATTTTATATAGATATTTAGATATTTATTTAGATATCTATATATTTATCCAAATATCTAGTTATTTATATTTTATTTAAATATTTAATTCTTTAAATTTTATTTAGGATTTTATATAGATATAGATTTTAGAAGATTTTATTCAGTTTTATTTAATTATCCAGTTATCTAGATTTTATTCATTATTTTAGGTTGTATTTAGAATTATAAATATGCTTAGCAACTTAAAAGCAAGCATATCATGAATAAAACAGATTGTTGAGACTTTTGGCCCCTTGGAGATTCTCCTTAACATGGCTATTGAGGAAAATATATAACGAGATTCTTGTTTTATATTATCTCGATAGATTTATTTCTTTTACTTTCTTCTATCAGTTCTATGTTTTTTTATTAATATTATGAAGTTAGATTCTGATTTCATATATTAATAGAGATTTATCTTCCTTATTTCTCTCTATCTATCTTAGATCCTATCAGGTGATGTTTCAGTTTTTCACCAACTGGACATTTAGTAAACCAATTTTTCTCAAAACTTACCGAGTATTTCTCATGTTACAAAAGGCAATGGTGTCTATCCTAGGCTTCACCCCAATCTTTGATATGTTAAACAGGAGGGTAAACAGAACTCTTTTGGAAGGGAAGCTCAGTAAAGGGTCATTTGCCTTTGTTGTCATATTTATCTCTAGTTCTTATCAAATAAATGTAAATTCAACTCGGTTACTAGCTGTGGATTGGTCTTTCACTTTGCTGCATAATAGGCTAGGCTATAATTTACGTTCAAATCAGTTGAGTCTTTGTTGCTAGGCTATAATCTGCAAAACTCTTGCTAGTTATCCTATCTCTGTCTTTGCCAGTTTTTCAAAAACCTGCCGCCTGAATCAAGTTAGTTTCCTCACAATCTCTTCCATCTGAACTTTCTCCAATAACTCATAAAATGTTAAAATTGAAAACATGTTACGTTATCAAACTCTGGTTCTACTTTGAACTCACAAGGTGCATATCCTAACAATTTTCATCTGGACAGGACTTTAGTGCTTGATACACACACACACACACCTGGCTCTGCTACGAATGGAGCAACTCAGTTACAAACTACTCCAGGTTCTGTCTTTAATAATTTAATTCAGAGATCTGGAATCACCTTTTCCGGCTTCTGAATCTCAACTTGGCATTAATCCAGCTTCAACTAAAGTCAGGCTTAAGTTGGTTGTCTCAACATCTGGCTGCTAACAATTTGGTTTGTTGTACATTAAATTACATATTCTATAGACTTGTTCTTTTTTTTACCACCCTCTGCACTTAAACTTTTAAAAATAAGCAACAAAGGTTTGAGAGGTTAGAGACTAGATAAGATGGCAAATACACTCCTGCTGAGTGGATTTTACCATAGTTTTGCCCTGTATCTCAGAACGAAGTAATAAATTACATATATTTGAATTTAAAAAAAAAGAATAATAAACTACATGTATTACTTGAAAAAAAAAATTTTAAAAATAAAGCTTTTTGAATGCCAAGTAAGTGGTGTCAATGTAAAGGGTGATTAACCAAGATAGTTACCATGAAAGACAAAGCAATTTGGCTCATGACTTCATGATCACGATGCATTGAATCTACATTTCAACAAAATCAACATTCTAATTAATATAGTTCCCAAAAGTCAATGTTCTGTGTCTAAGATTATGGCTTATTAATAATGATCACTCCCAACAGTCAACGTTTGAGTAACATTTTGCGTGCGCCCAAAGACTCAATAGCCAAACATCCTACATTCATCCATTGGGTCTGGTTTATCTCATGAATCTATAACAGTTCAGCTTCACTCCAGGTGCATGCAAAGTACTAAAATTAAGTGTAGAACTCTTCACAATCTCATAGACTCAAATTTTAAAGCTTATAATTTTTAAGGAAAATACAACAATTGATCCATATACTTTTAACGTATGTTGGTATTAATTCCTATATTTTCTTTTGTTGTTCCAAGTTTCTTAAATTTCATATGTCTATAATGTTAATTCTTATATTTTTAAATATGATTACAAGGATTTAACAATGGTTAATGTGTACATAAACACTATTACTCCTTGTGCTGACTTATTAAAATTATGCTTAGCTGTATAAAAAATAAGTACCAGGCCCCCCCCCCAAAAAAAAAAAAAAAAGCTGCTAAGCATTAAATTAGAATTCTTGAATATGCAATTGATAAAGCTCCAAAAGGAAGAAGACACGAAAATTAGGGCACTCAAATAGAAAGGTTAGTGGCCATTTTGCTTATACAATATCTAACTTATCATAAGTTTACAAGCTCAGCAATAAAATTGACAAAGTTATGTATACATCAACATATTTAATTATATCAATGATGATAAGGACTAACATTTTAAACTGATAAAATTTAAGAGACTTGGAGTAATTAAAAAGATATAAGGACTAATACCACAAAAAGCTGAAAGTACAAGGACTAATAGTGTTTTCTCTTTTCTTTTCTTTATTTTAATAAAGTGTTGTACTTGTCAGGCATATAATTAGAATCCCAATCATCTAAAAGACAGCCATTTGAGAGCAGCCTTGGGTTTCATCAACCACACGTTTAGTTGGGTAGCGAGAATTAATGAAACTAGAATGTGACTTTCCCATTACTTAACGGAGGATATCTCTAAATCAAACAAGCTGGAATGAACATAAGTTTGACTTGCGTGAACTTGGCACTATGGAACTGAAGGGAATACTTATGCAAACAGTGACAAAGATTAGGTTGTCCTACTCCACGTTTTTCTCACTTCCCATGAAAAAATTTCCATGGGTTCTAATATTGCAATCCCAATATGTACTTCGTCTCTTTCTTCTTTTTGGTTCATTCTATTGTAAAGGTTTGGTGCTGTCATGCATTTGCAGAGATTACATGTGAGCCCCTGCTTTGCTTAAAATCCAAAAAAAAAAAAACGATATTAACGGAGAGTTAGGTATGTAGTATGAGATTCTTAACCCCCACATTTAGGAGTGTTGGATGTTACAGGATATTTAAGTGGGATGGCTCTCCATCCTCAATAATGAGATTTTGGGGGAGGGTTTCTCATTGCAAGTACCAATCAATTGGTATCATTGTAGGTTTATAAGAGGGTGAAGGAATTTTAAGGGGGACCTAGACTAATCCAAATTACATTGATGAAGAACCCTTTGGAGCTAAGCTCTATCACTAACGTTATTGCTCCTCTAGTTATGCTGAAACTCTTTTATTAGTTGAACCAAATGTGATTAAAATTTTTAGATCTTGATATAATAATAACGATTTTATACTGATTTAGGGCAGCTTTACAAATCCATGTCCATGAAAACTCTGCTTCACAGCGTTCCACCACAGAAGAAAGTGTTTGGGGGGGGGGGGGAAGCAGGGCTTCAATTATTAGTTTGGAATTTTCATTTCCAGTCTCAATAAATCCAAAATTGTCGTTTGCTTCCTATCAATAATCAATGTGAACGTAATTATCGGGGTTAGTGGCTTTGATCAGAAAGCTAAAAAGATTGTTATATATGCTTTGGACCACCCGAATCAAAATATCAACACAGTAACAAAAGAACACTCAAGGGTCGAGCTCCTTTTTCCTTTTCACATGTTAAAAAAAAAAAAAAAAGTGGCAATACATGCATGCAAATGCAATCTTTATCATTGATCTGACAAATTTAAATCCTATGCCACAAGCGGGAAAATAACATATCAATGTTAAAGTCGAAACAAAAAGCATCAACTTCGATACCCCAGATATAATCAATGATTGAAGATGATATAGGAACTTGTCTTCACTTTCCATCATCATCCTGGTATGGAAAAGCAAAAATTTTTGTTTTCTGCATTTCGTTTATTCGCTAATATATGGGGGGAAAGAAACTGATGAATATTAATAGCAATGGGCTCAAAGAAATGCAAGAAGATGGGTGGAAAAGCATCATCTTCACTTTAAAATTGAAGTTGTATTCACTGGCATTAACTATAACCAGATAACTAGACAGTGTATGAGCATTTTAAATTGTATCACGTTGTTATGTCTGTCTTACCACTACAACCTGTCAATGCCTATTATTTAATTGACCATTAATGAAATTTACAAACTTCAGATGAATATTAAACCTGAGAGATTATATTTCTGAGATAGGAACTTTTTTCCTCTATTAAGATTTGATATGAGGATCATACAGATGACTGTTAGAAGACCGTGCTTTTTATCAACCCTGAACTTAAAAAGCAGGGATTGGCATTCTACCTAATTACCCTTGATCTCTTTTGCAAATTTCCAAAAACTGGTAATAATAGCCAATAGATTCATAGCCCAGTATATCACACAGAGGTCAGTAGAACAAGCTAAACCAGCTGATAAAGCAAGTCTTAGGTCCCGTTTGCTTTAATTCCTTAGGATTCTCAGGAATAACCTCTTCATAGTAATCATCATTCCAATATAAGAATAAATTTATGATTTTATTTTAACATAATCATAGTTTTTATTTCCGTTCTTGTTTTTTTTGCTTTCACCCTTTTTAGGCTTTAGCTTTTGGTAATACGTAAGCAAGATATTCCACTAATTACCCAAGATTTTGATTGAGTAAACAATGACTGGTTGGTCCCACAAACGGTAGTTTGGAGGGAGCTTTGCAGCCTTAACCACATGTTCAAGAGAACCGAGGAGGGAGGGATGATTTCTGAAATAAATGTTCCAAAACAAAAGAAAAATCACTCAGCACTTTTCTGGATTTACTTTTGGTGACGCAATCAGTGAATAAAAGAAAAGTTAAAGTTGTTTTGTCTGACTCAGTAATGACGTGAAAGAAATTTGATGGTAATGACAGCTCCTAGAAAGAACAATTCCCGCTCTCATTCGCACGTGACTTCCTTACACTAACTTGTCCATGTACGCATCTCTTGTCTATGCAAAAACAAAAGCACATTTGTTTATATTGATTCAGTGGCAAGTATAGGTGACTCATATTTCACAAGCATATGAGTATAAATCTGATTTGTATATACAAGTATCTCTATAAGTATTTTTCTCTAACACCTGATCTATGAAACGAGTTTGGGTACTCATCACTGTGGTGAGATCTGGACCATTTAAATTTTGATCTGAATAGTTCAAATTTCAAACATTATTATATATTATATTTATTAAAATAAAAATTATAACATAATTTTAATAAATTTTTTATTTTTAATATGATCTAGATTTAATTTAGAGGGTAATTGATATATATTGACTATCCAGATATACTCTGCACAGGCCAGATTAATTGTAATATGGCTTGTGCAGAATACATCTGGATAGTTAATATATTTCAATTATAAAAATTTTAATATTAAATTAGATCTTTTAAATTAAATCTAGGCCATATTAAAAATAAAAAATTTATTAAAATTTATTTATAATTTTTATATATTATTCTTTAAATTTAAACCATCTAAATTAAAATTTAAATGGCCGAGATGTCATTACAGCAATGAGCACTTACCGAAACCGGACTCCTGATCTATAAGCTCTTTACACACCAAACTTTCACTACCATCCTTCGTGTGAACTGGTTCAAGTGGTGGGCCACGTACTTTGGAATTTTGGGGTACATAGTGCACTTGAGGCAAGCAATCCCAAACTTTCGGTGTATCATGTGAGTTTTTTTTTTTTTTTTCCCACTGCTGATTTCATCGCCAAATTATATCTCTCTATATATAGGGCCTCTGATTATTTTACTCTTGATTCTCTTCTCTTCTTTTGCGAATTTCTAGAGGAATTGTTTCAGTCTCTTGCAGGGCATTCATTGGCTTCCACTTCTGGGATTTCTCTCAAGTCTTTAGAATTGTTCGTATCCTTTTCCCTTAACAGCCTCTCAGTGACTGAATATTGAAGCAGCCTACCATTAGAGACATTGACAATGATTCTGACATGTAAGGAGTTTCACTTGACTCCAGAAGAAAAACACAAAAAGCTTATATTTTTGGATCTTCCATATGTTTATTACACATTCTCCGGCTACTTAGCAACACTTCACATTTTATCCTTTTTATCTTTCTGAAGTTTTGTGCTTCGTGGGTGGGGTGAGTCTCTCTCTTTCTTTGCCTCAGTTCTTGTGGGTTATTTTATTTTTCTTAGTGATATAAAAGTAAGAAACAGAGAGATCTTGAATGGGAAGTGCACCATTACCGCCAGGTTTTCGTTTCCACCCAACAGACGAAGAACTGATAGGATATTATCTAAAGAGAAAAATAGAGGGGCTTGAAATAGAACTTGAGGTTATCCCAGTCATTGAATTGTACAAATTTGATCCATGGGAGTTGCCAGGTAAAAAAAAAAATAGCAATAGCATTGCATTACACAAATATATGGTAATAGGAAAAGATATTTATTGTGCTTACTTGCACTGTATATATGATGCAGACAAATCATTCCTCCCAAAGAGAGATATGGAGTGGTTTTTCTTCTGTCCACGAGATCGAAAGTACCCAAATGGATCGCGAACAAATAGAGCTACCAAAACTGGGTACTGGAAAGCCACTGGAAAAGACAGAAATATAGAGTGTCAGTCAACCCCATTCACTGTTAAAGGATGTAGAAAGACTCTTGTTTTCTATCGTGGAAGAGCTCCACTTGGGGATCGAACTGAGTGGATCATGCATGAGTATCGACTCAACAATGACTCTGATCACTCATCTCCCAGTTTTCAGGTAAATTTTATTACTTTTAGATGTACGGGCCTTAATGAGGCTGAATTTGGTCGTTTTTTGGCCCTTTGTAGGGTGGTTTTGCCTTGTGTAGGGTGATGAAGAAGAATGAGAAGGTTAAGAGTTCGCAGGAAGAACAAAAAGGTAAGGTAGCAGGAAGCAGTTGCACCGGTGGGAATAAAGAAGCTTCAATGAAGACCTTTGGTGATGTATCGTCTCAATCAAGCCCCAACACTTCTTGTCCATACCATGTGGCTTCAACCATGGCAGAGCCTGAGCAAGCTTCTTCCTTGGAGTCCATCAACCCTTCACATTTTTATGTCTCGCCTGACTTGATTCTGGATTCTTCCAAGGTATTACGTTTGTAGTCTAGGAACAAAGAAAGAAGGGAACTTCATATTCATTAGCAAGATTTCAGCGACATTTCTCAAGTTCATACTTCACTTATTTACTCCCCCAACTCTGCAGGACTACCCTCAAGTACAGGATGCCATGTCTGGATACTTTCCACAGTACGACTTATCATGTTCAATGAATCCATGGCAATCATTCCTACCAACAGAAAATTCAACCTCCTCATCTTACTCAAATGTAAATGGAGAAATTGAATTTGCTGAAGATCTCGATCAAGTTGGCTACTTCTATAGAAATGAAGATGTATCTCACGAAGGCTTTGATCATATCAATTCACTCAGATATCCAAAACCGTTCTGAAAAGTTGCAATTTTTGAAGGCGAGACAATTTCAATGCCCTTGAAGGTCCAACCCTTGTGGGACTAAGTCAACAAAAGTTTCTTGGTGTTTCGTTGGAAGGGGGATTTCTCTCTCTAAGACAACGCCTTTTAACGTACGTCTTAGAGTAAAAATTATGCGCATGTGCGATCCCTTCCTATGCAGATGGACTAGATGTATCCCTCCTAGTGTTATAGTGTCTGCTCTGGAAATAAACACTTTTATCGGCTTCACCATGCAGAAACTGGTTTACATTCAGCCGTCTATGTATCAATATCAATAAAATAAGCTTATACATAGAATTCTATATGTGCATACTCTTCTGCTCTGCCTACTGCTTATGGATTCATCATTACTGCATCTTGACGCTTAAATTTCTAAAGCTAAAAGAGTCAAAGTTGAAAGCTAAAGTAACATGTACATAATGCATGCAAACAAATTGGACTCTTGATTCTGCTCACTCAGTTTTTTCTTTAATAAAAAGAGCTGAGTTGAAGTTTACTTTCCAAGTTGACAAGACATTACACTGTGAAGTTGCTTTGAGAAGCATTTAAAACTCATTATACCTGCTAATTCTTTAAGCCTAACCTATACAAATTAGAAGCTTCAAGGAATGAACATTTTGAACTATACCATAATTAGAAGCTTCATCATCATGGAAGGCAAAATAGTAGCATTATGACTAGTTGTTACCCATTATGATGTTCTAGTACAAGCTAGCAATTTGAGGGCTGCAAAAAACTTCAACTTCTTCAAGGGTAGCCTTGGACTCGTCCCCAAAAAGAGATTTTTTGCCGTCTTCCCTCTTAGCATAAGACAATCCCAGCCTAGACTTGGCTTGCCTGAGGTCACCAATACCAGAGTTCGTGTCAGGTCCTGCAAAGCCCCCCATAACTGGGGCCAAGGGGGGCCCAATGAGAAGCCCATCGGCCCCGAACTGTGGGCCCCCACGAGCATAATCGAACAGAGCCGCGCCGCTGCCACCTACCTTGGGCAGAACAATGGGTTGGGTTTGAATGTCAGGCCAATAGAACAAGAAAGCATCAAAAGTATCATAGTAATCATCAGTACTTCTGTAGCCTTCAGGGTTAAAAGCCCCAAACTTGAAAGACTTGTTTGTGTAGCCTATAATCACGCATGGCCCCTTGAAGTCGCAAGATTCGTGAAATTTTGTCGCGCTGAACCCATCGATTGTGGCCCTATAGCAGCATTTGAGATCCTTACCTGATCAATTCACAGGATTTTGAAGGTCAGGAGTGACCTGCAAGTTTGAAACTTGAGAGAGAGAGAGAGAGAGAGAGAGAGAGAGGACCCTTCAAGAAAGTTTTATTGAGAAGAGATGTTGGGAAAGTGAGATCGATGTCATGATACTTAGTCTGAGGTTTGTCGTCAGGCTTGTTCTTGCCAATGTTCCAACCGAATAAGCTATAAGGGGTGCTTCTCTTCCAGCCCTGTTGTGATAATACAGGGTTTGAGAGACCCGAAGCCATATGCTCAAATCACCTCCACGTTAACTTCCTCAGTCCTCACAACAACTTATCCTTATTTTCGCGGAGTCGGCTTCTCTCTCCCTCAGCCTCTTCTTTAAAACAGTGGCTTAATCTAAACCGTTTAAATTTAATTTGATGATTTAGATTTAATATTTTTCATTTATATTTTTAAAATAAAAAATATATAAAAATTATAAAAAATTTAATAAATATATTTATCAATCTAAGAGTTTAGATTTAATATAAATAATTTAAATTTAATATTAATTTTTTTAATAAATTTACTGTCCTGTTCAGAATATATTTAAAAAGTCAATTTAAATTTTTAATATTAAATTTAGAATATCTATATTAAATCTAAATTATCAGATTAATAAGTATATTTATTAATAGATTTTAAAATTTTTATATATTTTTTATTTTAAAAATATAAAAAAATAAAAATATTAAATTTGGATCGTTTAAACTTAATCTGAACAGTCCAAAATAATTTTTTTTTTTTGGACCAACTCAAAAATTATAAATTTAGAAGGTTTTGAATTCATCAATTTTTGAAAACAGTTTATTAATTAAAAATAATATCAAAAATTATGTAAAAGAACAAATAAAATTTTACCGATCCTGTCATGTAATTTTTTTATATTTTGTCTGTAATTTTTAGATTTCTTTGTTGTAATTTTTTGTCTTTTTAAATTTTTAATGTCATTTTCTATTATTTTTTAATTAATTAATGGTTAAAATTAATTTTTATTAATGACAAGAATCAAATCGCACTGTTTTTTAAAATAAAAAATCATTACACAAAAAATAAATTTATTAGCATTCCTATATCTATAATTTAGCCTAGGAACAATTTGTTCATTTATCTTCTATTTTATTGACACTTTTGCATGGAATGTACAAGCAATGACTAGAGCTATCAGTTAAGGTCAGCCCGACTTTAAAGGGTTAAGGCTTAAACGGGCTAGCTCTATTAAGTTTGATTATATCTCAAAGCTTCATTTTGGTTAGTCTAACCCTAGCCTTCAGGGGCGAAGGCCCTATATTGTTTTTCCATTTTTCAAATTAAAAATCTAAAAAATATATTTAAAATCTCAAGAAGTTATTACATATAATATTAAGTCTAGAAAAATAAATTTATGCCTAATAAAAATAACAACATCATAAAATTAACACTAATAACAACTAGACTTTATTAGCACCATCAACTAAATGTTGATGATTTTTATTGTCATCAATATCAATATAATTTTATCCTTCTCTTTGTGGAATCTCATCAATGAAAAAAATATTAAGCCTTTTATATATTCTTTCTTTATCCTCATAAAAATGAGGCTAGGATTTTAGTAGTGTAATATTTAAATTTTTTAATATTAAAATTTAAAAAATATAAAATTACTTAAAAGGATCAACCCTTTTATTTTAGGGTTTAGATTTGTCATTTTATATTCTAAACTAACAACTCAGCCTTGAAATTTTTTAAACTTAAAAGGACCGGCTTGACGGGCTCGATCCTAATTGATGACTTTAGCAATGATGATGGTCACTTGGGAAATTACATATTATGGTTATGGACTTTTAGATTTTGCACTCCTTTCTTTTCATATATTCTTTCTCTAAATTCAAATTTGTTTTTTCAACTTTTCAATTCAAAGTTTAGTAATATAATAATTAATAAATATATAATTATTTTTTAATTACTAAATTATTTTTAAATCTATTAATTTTTTAAGAAACTTACCTTTCTAATTCATGGTCTTGGGCTCTTGGCTCAGTCACAAGTAGATAACAAGCTGATAAAAACTTTCTAAATTAAATTGTATAAAAAATATTTGCGAACTGGAGCTTTGCATCTAAAACTCAACTTGACCAAGAGGATCGCACTTCGAAGCAGGCTATCACCAATTATTAACCCGAAATTTAAAAAAATAACAATTAAACAAGTTTGTTACAAAGTTCAAATATATTAGGCTATTCTGCATTTGTCTATTTCTTCCTTTTCTTTTCAGATCACCCAAAAAAAAAAAATCTTTTTCTTATTTTTTTATTGCGTTCAAGTATCCTCCTCTGCTTAAAAATAATCTTATTTGAAACGCAATCGGATGAGTACCTCCCCTACTAAATTCAAATTTTAATTCGATACATTATGAAATGAAGCGCGCACTTATTGGAATGCTTTAAGGCATAATTGCTGAAAAACGAAGGCATCAATACGTTTGACATTCACAATATTCTGTGCAGCTTTCTCAAGTCAAAGGGACTATTATCTCATTGCAATGATTTGTAACAAACATATCTTAATGGTTCTGTCGGTTCAAAAAAGAACAAAGAAAGAAAGAAAGAAAATCTCAATGGTTCTGAAGCAATTACAGCTGTTCAATGCTCAGTCAATACATGTATGCTTACATTCCCATACGGCCATATCCCATTAATGTACACCAAACTTCCTCTGGTTTCCTTGAAGCAACATAAACGAAAACAAAAAGGGGCCTGCTAAGAATAAAAAGATTTGTACTATGTTTTCTGATGAAAGAGATTTTCCAGAAACTTTCTCATTTGCAATTAAATTTGCATTGTTGATGAAGCTCTGCGATGGTCATGGCAGCCTATTGACATTAACATCAGCCATTCTTTTATTCTGTAGAAAGAACTGAAGAAGAAGAAGGCGACGACTCATGAAAAATGGATCAGCTGGCTTGGAGGCTCACTGAGATGAAAAGATTCTGTGACCACGGCAAGTTCAAGAAGATCTTGTGTTTGGATTTCAGTTGGATAAAATTCATTATGGAAAAAATTGATTATCAAACGGAGTTTCAAAATAATTGATTATCATATGGAGCTTCAAATAATCTCTCTCACAAAGGAGTTTCAGAGCCTAAAGCGAGTTTAAGAAAAAATGGAATGTTTGAGGTGTTTTTTTTTTTTTTTTTCCCTTTTCAAAACAAAGTTCTAGGAGCCATGATTGATTATGAAGAGGTATCCAAACACATCCAACGTCTCACAGATACTTCCCAGATGATTTCCATATTCTGCCTTCAAGTGATATCACCATAACAGTAACATCATCATGGTACTTCCTCCGATCTCCTTGTCGAATATCAAGCAACTCATGCACATCCATTCCTGCAAAATCACCTTTTCCATAAATGTGAACTCTACCTGACATTCCAGAATTTTCCTGGTAACAATTCTACTGTATGTACTACCACGAAACACGAGATAATTCAACAAGATCAGAAATTTCTTATTTACCAGCCTTCTTGGCTGCGCGAAGGAGTAGCTGTTCTATCAAATGCTGGGCTGGATCTCCATCTGGACAGTTCTCCATCAGGTTCTCAACTTGAGAAACCACTTCTTCATTTGTTAGATATTGATACAATCCATCAGATGAAAGGATTAAGAACTGATCTCTTTGGCTTAATCTATGGTGGCATAGTGACGGAGAGCTGGATATATATGGAGCAGTGCCAATATAATCTGCACGGAACGTTTCCAGCACTGCATCATTCCACTTTGGCTGCACCACCATGCAAATTATACCATCATGTAAGTATAAATAAATTAATATAAAATACTTGAAAAGTCTATGCAGTCACAAACAAAACAAGAGATATGACCAAATAAGCAGAATTCTATTTCAGAGTAGGCACTACAAGTTTTGGTTTAAAACTGAGGTTTGAGGTCTGGGTGGTCCACACTGAGATTTGGCCGTTTGTGTCCCGAATGTCAGTTTGGATCCAAAAAAATCTTGTTTGTATAAAAATGGTAGAAAAATGGCTTTGACGCAAACTTAAGGTTGGCATAGAGGCTGATTTTTTGGCTTTTCGCTTCTGCGTTTATTTATCAAAATATAAATCATGTTAAGAAATTAAAAATGTATACTACAAACATAAATCACATTAAACTAACTAATGAAAAAAAAATATTCAAATATAAATCTCATTACAGTAACAAAGTTTTCCTCTGACTTCAGTTTACAAACTTCAATTTATAAAAATTTCACTTTTGAAAGTTTTAATCCAGACACACATGTAGTGGCTATTAGAGATAAAAAAGTTCCATATCTAGAAATTAAAAAATAGATCATAAATATATAAGATTTGGGATGTGTCTAACTAAATGATTTAAATTATTTTGGTAAAGTAGACTATCATTAAGCATAATTAATATCAAGAATTTAATGGTGTATTTTTCCATAGACAGTTGAGTTATGACTCTCTCTGAAGCGTAGGACCTCCCTCTAACTGCAAGGCACCAAGGGATAATGAGAGTTATGAACTGATTTTCCATGTGCAATATTAGAAACAAAGTAGTATACAACAAAAACTGATGTTGCTCAAAATTAATTAATCAAGACTGTGCCACCTGAGAACCAGAGCTCAAAGCCAAAAGGATTGATCAAGAATATATAAGAAAATCATGGGGATAAGAGATCAACGTATTGGTTTGTTTTTGAAGTGAGGAGATAAGAGATCAGAAGCACACCTCAGGAGAATTGATAAGCATGCATAACACAACAGTATTGAAACCCAAAAAAAAAAAAAAATCCTGAAAGAAACCTGCTTCAAAAATCCTGCCCCAAATGCTCTGGTGACCTGAAGATGACCTTTCACTCTGTTATTGACAATGCAGTGGCTATCATCAGGATGTTCATTCTTGATTCTGATCACTTCCTGTAAAAGAATGAAGTCCCACTTATACTGAACAACTGACATAACCAGTAAAAAAAAAAAAACAGCAGAGAAAGCTTCTAGTGTTTTCGGACTTGAAAGAATCTGTGAATAAGATAAAGCCAGCTTAGCCTTGAATATAACAACTTCGAATTACTCATAATGCAAATTACTAATTCAAAACTCTGATTGCCAATTAGTTTCCCAAATCATGATAGGTGTATAGTTTTTTAAAATAATTGTACAATATCCCAACTAAATCACACACTTGTCATCAATAATGGATGACCATGTTCTGATCATAATATTAACAATCGGGTCAATTTGGTCAATTGAACTAATAAACTGTTGAATGAGTGTCTTGACCAGTTTAATAAAATGCTTTGTTGATGAATGCTTTCTCAAGGTTCAACTACGTTTTTTACCATTAACCCTTAAACAGTGTTTTAAGCAGTTTAATGTTAATGACCGGTCCGGTCTGGTTTGAGTACCTTAGTTCTTAGTTTTGATTGAAGAATCTGAAAGATAATGATGAGGAGTCAATAAGCCTGATACAGTGTTCAGAATCCATAAACCGAGCATACCTCTTCAATGCTGGTGCTATGGTCTGTGGAAAGCTGTAATGCAACTAGCCTCATTTCTTGACCAGGATCCTCATTCTCCAACTTGATTGCTCTTTCATCTCCAGCTAAGAATTCCTCAGTTACGCTCTCTGTGCTTGACTCATTATTATTTCCCTCATAACTCAATTCCGTTGCAGATTTTAACTCTCTGGGCTCGTATTGCGCAACAATGGCTCGGCTATCTCCTACGTTCATCACGTACACATCCTCGTCCCTCATTAAAACAACTAACAGACACGACCCCATTAAAAAGAGTTCTGGATTTGAATCCAGAAGCTTGTCTGTCATGTCCAAATATGCAAGTTCGGTGGCTTCAAGAGCCCGAGACAATGCCCTCAACACTGAGTCAGCATCCACGGGGCCCACCTTTCTCTTCCTTCCTCCACCAGAAGACTTCTCTTTCTCCGCTCCAACCTTCTCTTGATGATATTGTATCGACGATGACAACTTACCACCATGGACCCTCTTGGGTTTTGATAATCCATGCTTCAGTTTTGATAGCAGCCACCGTCTACTAACTGCTGATCCCGCATTTCTGACGTTGATTGCATCATGGACGGAAAATGCAAATCTTTCTGACCCTGAGAGATCGAGACCGTCTTCTGGATCGTCGTCTTCAAGAAATTCCCATAGCCTGCGTCGCCTATCTTCAGCTTGAAAAATCAGGGGATTTGCATCTTCTACGCACACTGAAATTTCACTCTCAGTTTTGAGCTCTTCTACGCCAATCATGGTGTTTTCAGAAGTTGATGGATTGGTTTCCTTTGCGCCTTCAGCTTCCCAGAACAAACCTTTTAGTTCATTGTAAACAGCACGATAAAGATGGCACATTAGGAATTCCGGCGCGTCAGGGCCATTGAAGCCGTCGTAAATGCCGATGAACAGCCAGCCATGCTCTTCTGATACAACCACATGTACCCGATCCTCTCCTGCTTTCCCAAGCGCCCATTGAACATGACTACTCTCACTCTTCACTTCCGGCTTCTCTTCGTTCGCCGGAGCTTCCTTTCTGCCCACGAAATCCAACACCGAAACCGCTCCTGGCTGCTGCTTCTCCGAACTGGCCGGATGAAATGCCTTACGCAACCGTGAAAACGCTCTCTTGCGCTTCTCTTTGGTATAAAAGCCACCCAGAGGAGCCGAAAAAGGGACCTCGCTTTCATCTTCTGCGGTGGCGTTGTTTTGCTCAAGAGGCCCAGAGAGAGCACTACGCTCAATTGGACCTGAGAGAAAGTGAGGCTCTCCTCTCGGCGCCGGCTGAAGCGGAAGAGCACTAAACGAAGATGTGCTTTCGAACCCATTCACAATACTTCCCCTCACGCCACCTTCAGGAGTGGTACCATCATTGGCTCCATCGCAGACGTCTTCCAGGTGGACAACAGTTTTCGGAGTCGAATGGTTAGCACTCACCGAAGCTCCGGAAATGGCCTTGAATCCAGTTTCCGGGAAATCGGGTCGGACTCTGATAACGGGTTCATGGAAGGGAGAGAAGCGGAGGGAATTAGAAGGAAAGACGTCGCGATCCGAGTGACCGCGTGAAAGCAAGCGAGATGAAGATCTGACATATCGGAAGGAGTGGCCTATAGTTCCGTCCAAAGGCTCAGTCGGCGCAGAAATCCCATCCTGCTGGTCCGGTTGGCTCGTCGTCGCCGTCCTGTTTAGCGGTTCAAAGCAGGAACAGAATTTGGAAAATCCACCTCCCATCACATTTGACTTGCTCCACTGTGTTGCAAGAAAGAAGAAACCATTGAAGGTTTTCCGGCGGAGTTGAAAAAAACAGAGCAAGAGAAGAAGAACGGAGGAGGAAGTAAAGCGAGGGAAGTGGCAGTAATGTAATTATATGAGTCGAAGCTGATTGAGTGAGAGTGAAGACAAAAATGTTGGTCTCTCTCTATAAAAAAAACTGTTTTTGCTCGTCTTAAAAAAAAATAGGTAGAACGCAGTGAGGGAGAAAAAATAGCAGCAAAACACAACTCAAAGATTCGTCGATGAGTGCAAGTTTATTGCTTCACTTATAAATCGATAAACTTTCAGTTTGACCCAAAAAAATATATATAGAGAGATAAACTTTCAGTTTGTTCGGCACTCAACTAATTTTTTTCTTTATAAGCCCTGCCATTCCCTCAAAATATATATATATATATATATATTGTTTTTAGATTTTTTTTTTCTTTCTCATACTGTAAAGTTTTGGTTCAATTCAGAAGTAGAACCTCTTTATTTAATCATCTTTTTTCCCTCACTTCTCTAAATCATGCTCTTTTAATCATATTTATAGGGTAGGAAGAAAAAAAATTAATCTTATTTATAAAACATTTATTAATTCTTAATACTCCTTTTATATTTTTATTCTTGTTAAATATTTATCGATAATGAAATTTAAGAACATTCATTAAAAATAAAGACAAAAACTTAATATATTTTAAGATAAAATTAATGAAATTTAAAATTTTATTTGATTTTAATAAAATATATTAAAAATAATTTATAAGTAGAATTAAAAGAAGTAATCATTCATTAAATTTATGATTAAATCAAATTCACTTAATGCTATGATGTCAATAGTTATGAATGAAAAGTGTAGAGAAAATAATGATAAAAAAACACAAAGGTTCCATATTCCTTGGCTGAACAATTCACGATTACATATGGCATCTTACGAATGCTCAGTGACCAACAAGTAACTGGTCACGTCAACCATGTGGATCCCACATTCGCGATGTGATAATTAAACACTTTCAAATGCCTTTGCCACCACATTAATTTGGTTTTTCACTACAGCATTTTCCTTACGTCATTGCATGTCTAAATTGTACTAATTAAATTATAACTAAATAGGTTAACTTTTACTTTTAAAAGCTATCAAAATTAAATAATCAAATTCAATTTAACAATGCAGTGTTAACCAACTCTGCCAATACAACCCATTGGAAAGTTTCGAACATGCTGCCTTCCTCTTATGAACGATTTTGAAGGCTGATTTGGTGCCATTATGGCAGCTAGATCATTGGCAACTCTGATAATTTCTAATATTTGAGATTGCACAAATTTATATTAATTAGAACCTAATTTGTGCATAAATTTTTACCATACAAACTTAGGTGATATCATCTATTAAGTTAAAATTGATTCACAAGATGCACATATCTTGTTATAATATCTTTTTCACATGTTTTTATATTTATAGCATTTTAGAAACCCCTCTTGTTCTTTAACTACATATGCATGTTCTAAACACCCTTTTTAAAAAGCAACTATCTTATCTATGATACTCCCTCCATCTCAAATTATGAGGTATTTTTAGATAAAATTTTACATACTAATAAATCTCATTAGATATACTTAACAACTTTATCTTTTTAAAATAAAAATATAAACTTTTAAAAATGCCGAACATTTAATATATTGAAAAGAGAATGGACAAAAATTAATTATAGAGAGGAAAAATAAATTTAAAATTGGTACATTTAATGAAACCTTAATATATTTAAAGTATCTTATATTTTAAGACGAAATTTTTTTTTAAAAGTATTCTATAATTTGAAATAGAGAAAGTAATTTATATCTCAATTTCATGTCCCTTCAACCTCTTTCTAAGCTCTTCTTTTTTAATCAATATATGTGTGTGTAATATAGATCTAGAAGGAGTTACACTATTTATAAATCATAAATAGTTAGTAAAACTAATTTTAAGACTTGAATACATTGAATTCACATGTAGGTTTTTTTTTTTTTTTGGGTAAGAATTCACATTTAGTTTTGTCAAAAGAAACACGCAAAGAATTAATAGTTCCTAGACGAAATAAAACTGTTTGACTTGACGAATATATATATGAACAAATTAGACCAAAACAGATCATTGGAAATAGTAGACACATACCTCGTAGGAAGAATGGCAATAAAATTTTAAAAGAGTAAATTAATGATAAGTATGTTCTGTGACAAAAATTTTTACTTAAAAAATGAGTTATTAATATTAATTTAGATAATTATAAACATAAATTTATTTTAATTGCAAATAAATAATTATATTTAAAATTTAAATATTTTGTTTGTAATTAAAATTTTTGAAGTTGCAAGATATTTACAACTTATTTGTCATAAAATTTTATCGAGATTTAATTATTATTACTTTTTTCTCATGTAATTTAACTGTCAGTTTCACATGTTATCCCTTGAATCATCACCATTTCTAAATTATATTAAGACAAACATTTTGTATTTTTCAAAATTAGGGAAGTTATCAAAAAAATTTGAAAGTCCAAGCTTATTTCTTAAAAGATTTATGAGATGATTGTTTTTAATTTCACGAACAAAAATAAATGTGATTTTTTTTTGCATATAATTGTAATTTTTAAGAGGATTTTAATTTTATATTCATAGGGGATTTAGTCAAGAGAAAATGTTAACACACTCGCAATTGCTTGTACCTAAAATTAAAATTACATAAAGAACTAATTTGATAAGACTTCAATCTAATTCAAAATTTGATCTTTTTTATAAAAAGGATTGAGTTAAGTAACCCATGATCTGGTATGATCTTAGTATAACCTGAAGTCGAACAAGACTCGACTAATCCAGTAGGACTAGGTGACAAGTCTCGATCTTATCCAGCATCTCACTTTGTATTTTTTTTATCCATGAGAGGTAGCAATTTATTTCAACATAATAAAATTAATTATAGTCATATAAAATTTATTATAACAACAACAATTATAAACTCACAACAGTCTCCAACAACAACAATAAAAAGTATTTCAATTACAATACAAATAATTCAAATTAAACAACCTTCAACATGTCTAAAGTTCATTATATCAAGTTCATAACAAATTTCACCAATAAAAGGAGAAGACTGAGATTGGTCAATTTAAAATTTTGCTCAATGTTCATGACTTCACAAGTATACAACACCAAAAGAAAATACTAATTATTATTATAAATTAACTTATTATAATTATAATTAATAAATTAATTATAATTATATTAAATAAATTTATAGATTGGACCAGATCAAGTGGTCAAGATACTTGATCTTTTATCTAATTCAACCCAAAAAAAGAGTCTAGCCTTTTTTATCCTGAAAAAATCAATTTTTATCTAGACTAAACAGGATCAGGTTTGTCTCGAATCAGACCAAACCAAACTGAATTGGAGGATTTTTGTACGGCCCTACCTAAAATAAATAAAACCGTTTGACTAATATTGTTTTAAATTAAAAACCAAAGACCATTGAAAACAGGCAACTTGTTATTGATAACTATGGGCATGATTGATTTCTATCTTTAAGGATAAAAAATAAAAAAATTATTTGGATAAGTGTTTTTAAATTTAAATGTTGTCAAAGCATTTTTTTTAAAATTGAAATATATATTGTAGAGTTTTTTTGTTTTTTATTTTTAAAGTACACTATATTTGGCTATTAGAAATTATTTTCAGTTATGGTCAATTATTATCATAAGCCATCCATTATTAATTCTAAAATTACCATAATCACATTTTCATTTGTTTTGAAAAAAATTTCAAATAAATGGTTTGCAAAATTACTTTTTTAATAAAAAAGAGAAAACAAAATAAAAAAAGTCCCACATAGCAATTTTCTTGAGGTGAAGGAGAAAAGAATGGCAGATGCAAAGTCAATCTTCCCCATATCCGGCCACAAAGAAAAGGTTATATTATTCTTCGACAGTCAATATTCTTTAAGAAAAAATCACTAGCTTGGAAAAAACCCCCAAATTTTAAAAATGTCTTATTTTTTTAACATTTAATTTTTAAAAAATGTCTTTAATGGATGAAGTAAATCATGTGACAAATTTCGAACATTGTGTATGTGTATGTAACACACAAAAACGCAACGAGCTGACTCATTATCATAGATATCCATGTTTTACATTTTATCTTGAAAAAAACTACTTTTAGTTTCTATATTTTATTCAAATTTTGATATAAATTCTTACACTATTTTTTTAGTGTTTTAAGTTTCTATGTTTTTCTCTATTTACAACATTAGTCCTTATATTTTCATAAGGACATTGATGTGGCATGGCACAAATAATGTTAATAATATTAATGTGTCAATTAACATTATTAATTTTATGCTTACATGTCAAGATAATGTTAATATATATTTTTTTATAAAGAGAACTTTTTTAAAAAAAAAAGCTTACATCAGATGAAATAAAAAGATTGATTTGGACTCCTTTGCACCTTAAAAAATGAGGGTCCACTTTTTTTAAAATTTGTGTGTTTTGTTGACCGTTTAAGAGTTCAGGTCAGCATTTTTATTTCATCTTATATAAGTTTTTTAAATTTTTATTTATTAAAAAATTCGTTAATATCAGTTTGACATGTAAGCACAAAATTAACGATATTAATTAATATATTAGTATTATTAACATTGTTTGTGCCATGTCCAATATCCTTTTAAAAATATAAGAACTAATATTACAGATAAAGAAAAATGTAAAAATTAAAACATTGAAAAAAAGTATAAAAATTTATATCTAAACTTGAGTAAAGTGTAATAATTAAAATAGTGTTTTTCCTTTTTATTTATTGTCTTCCCCAACTGCAACTTGATCTCTTTCCAATATGAAATATCTTAAAAGATATATTTTTGGTTTTTTTAATTAAAAACAAAACTTATATTATACTTGAATTTAGATGCTCAATAAAGTTATCGAATTAATTGATTGAATTACCAGGTGTAAGTAATCTTAATTGACTAAGTTTTGACTTTAACCAAATTTAAGTACCAAAGTATAGTTGTTAATTAGTAATTGTTTACCCTCCATTCCGTACAAGTTTAGGGATATAATAATTCGTTAAATATTTCACACGAAAACTGGACGCGGCAAGTTACTATTTTATTTGGTATATTATTATTATTATTATTATGAAAAATCGGGGAGGGAAGCTTTTCCATTGAAGTCAAAAGGTAATCCA